TTACGTTACGTTACTTACGTACTACTTACGTTACGTTCTACGTTACTTACGTTACGTTACTACTTCTACTCTACTCTCTCTCTCTCTCTCTCTCTCTCTCTCTCTCTCTCTCTCTCTCTCTCTCTCTCTCTCTCTCTCTCTCTCTCTTTCTGTGTCCAAAAATTTGCACATGGTTCTTTTTAAACTAGACTAAAGATTTGATGGTTACATATGTAGGATGCTGGGCCCATGGCTCATCCTGTAAGACCCCACTCATACATCAAGGTACATAATGAAACTTGAATGATATTTTCTCCCTCTTTCAATCAAGTTTTGCAACATTTTATAAATTACTTAGAATTGGTTGTGACTGGTGATTTTGTTACTTTTTCCCCCTACAGATGGACAATTTCTATACAGGTGTGTTTGTGCTGTGTATAGTTATTTCATGATGGTTTTGTGCTGTACTTAAAGAAAGCAAATTCATTGTCTATTCTAGTTTTTTGACAATATCATTTGCTTTCTGTGTAAGCTTCACTCTGCAAATCAACTAATTTTGTTTTGGTTTTTGGTTTTTGACCCATGTTACATGCTTGGAATTGACTATTAACGTCTTGGCAATTAATTTTCCCACATTCTGCATGAACTTCAACTTCCAGTGACGGTACGCATCAAAGTGATTTTGATTTTTGTCATTTACATAATTTTGATCTCCTCACTTGGTCTCCTGTGTGTGTGTGTGCGTTTTTGCACGTGCGTACTTACGTGTTGATTTGTTTATTATCTTGACAAAAACTGACATTAACTGCAGTTTCTTATGTTGCTTGTTCTGTGTTGTGTGGTCTCAGGTGTATGAGAAGGTGAGAAAATTCTTATTTCAGATGCTATATTTCTTTATCTTCGTTTTCTTTTCAGTCATTTAGTTGCAGAAAATTTAACAATGAGTTTGGTTGTTGTCTTTGATAATGCTTTTTCATCTTCAGGGGGCTGAAGTCGTTAGGATGTACAAAACCTTGCTTGGAAGTTCAGGATTCCGGAAAGTAAGATCAAGCTTCCCTTGCCCACCTAATTGAGATTTATAATTATGTCCCCTAGTTCGTCTTTGCTCTTTACCCGACTGTGCTTTTCCATTCCTTCCACTCATAAAGAAAAGCTTTTTATTTCTTTACATGATGATTTGACCAATGTTTAAAGAAACGGATTGGTGACTCAAACCGGTCACACCCATACCCCTGTCGGATCGGTGACTCGGTTCGGAGAATCGGGAGAATTGGCAATTTTTTTCCCAATTCTTTTTCAAAAAATCACTATAAATCTCTTAAAATAGTGTTTAAAAGAAATTAGGAGTTTTACATTATGTACTTTCATTACTTTGTAAAAATAGGTGATACTGAGACGTTGCTTTCCTGTCTGGATGTTTGTATAATTATTAATTATAATGAGTATTATAATATTTCATCAAACTAATTTAAAAATATTAGAAACACTTTTATATTATAAGATTAAAAAAAATCCCATATTGATGCAAATTGAATTTAGAAAATTGATTTATTTTGAACTTTATTCTATTTTGGGGCATGGTTGGAATTTTATTTATTGATTGGTTGTATTATGACTTAAAGCATGAGGGGTAGAAGGGATATTTTGTTTAGAAGTTGGAGTGGTGAGTAAGTTACTATATGGGGAGGTACGTATTCCTTTATTTGTGCGAGTATGGGTATCTTAAAGTAGGAAAGTTGAATAGTTGATAAAGTTGAAAGTAGAGGGAGAGATTTGTGGGGCCCACATGCCATAGAGAGAGAGAAATTTTGTTAGAGAGATAGAAGGTACGAGAGTTTTTTGTGGGGTTTTAGTTGGGAGGAAAATAAAGGGGGGGGAACGTGCCTCTTTGGAGGGGGTTTGGTTATTTTTGTAGAGAGAATTTTATTCAAAGAAGAAGGGTTTCTTCTCTTTTGGGGCTGAATTTACAGCCACTTTAAATTCTCCATTGTTGTTGATTGTGGGTGTTCAAGATCAAAGAAGGACAGATTTAATTTCTAGGCTCCTTTTGCATCAAGTGGTATCAAAGCAACGGTTCGTGACTACGATGACTGGTCGTGTAGGTCGTGGTGGCCCTAGGTATACCGCCTTATACCGAAGGATCGACAACTTGACGGAGATGGTTGCACAGTTGCTGCAGGAGAGATATCAGTAGCAAGGTGTCCCAAACAAAGAGGTTTCCATGTTGATGGATCCAAATCGTGAGGGTCTTGATAGAGATCGTCTTGAAGCGGGGCTTGAATCTGGGATGGCGCATCCTGATTATGTGTCCAATCATCCAAATTTGCTCGATGCGCGACAACGTTGACAAGAGCATGAATCTGATGAAGAGTCGGGCAGCCAACCACCCCGAGTCCAACATGATCAGTGTAGGGGTAGGGATAGGGAGGAATCACGTGATCGACCTCGAGATGCACTGAGGTACGATCGTAGAGAGTCAGATTCAGGAATTAAAATTGATCTCCCTAAATTTTATGGAAATCTTTCCCCTGAAGAGTTTTTGGATTGATTGAGCACGGTTGAGCGCTTCTTTGATTGGAAAGAATTGTCCAATTCAAAGAAGGTCAACCTTGTGGCTCTTAAACTTAGGGGACTTGCATCAGTATAGTGAGATCAAGTTCAAGAAGCACGAGTTCGAAAAGGCAAAGAAAAGATCAGTTCATGGACCAAGATGAAAGCAAGGATGCGTTAACAATTTCTCCTGTCGAGCTATTCACAAACATTGTACCAACAGTTCCATAGGTTGCATCAAGGTACAAAATCTATCCGGGAGTATACATATGAGTATTACCGCTGAGCCTTGAGCAATGGGTTAGCGGAGACCAAGGATTAAAAGGTGGCGCGTTATGTTTCGGGGCTGCGGAGTTTGATCCATGATGAGCTCACATTGCATCATATGCCTCGGTTAGAGGCGGCATATCAGGCCGCTTTAAAGGTGGAGGAACGACAAAGAAAGGGGGCAGCCATACGCTGACCCACAACCGGATTGGGTTCATCACAAATTGGGAGGCCAACGCCTCCAAACCCAGGGAGTTCCTGCAGCAGGCCCAGCTGCCAGTACTTGAGCACGAAGCCGAGCCCAAGAGGTTGTTGGTCCGAGGTGTTTTAGGTGCAATGAGGTGGGGCACCGATCGCATCGAGCTGCAGAGCGCCCATTGAATGCCACCCAGTGCCATGCCAATTTGGTAGAACCTGAATATGACGTTGAAGAAGGGGAAGGCCATGAAGAGTACCCTGCCATTGAGGCCAAAGATGAGGCTGATTTTGATGATCAAGTTGATGAAGTAGTCCGATCAAGGAGACACCTTGCTGGTTCAACGTGTTCTCTCAATGCCACCTGCATCCCAAGAAGACTGTTGGCTAAGGACTAGCATATTTTGCAAGCGGTGTACGTGTAATGGCAAAGTTTGCAACGTCATCATCGACAACGGGAGTAGCTAAAGCATGCTCTCTCAAGAGATGGTAGATAACTTACATCTCAAGGCCGAAAAGTATCCACATCTTTACAAGGTTGCGTGGTTCAAGTGCGGGTCTGAGGTACCCATAACTTCTTGATGCTTAATTAAATTTTCCATTGGTAATTTTTACAAGGATGAGGTTTGGTGTGATGTTGCACCAATGGATGCCTGCGGCATACTCCTAGGACATCCCTGGCAGTATGATAGAAGACCATCCATAATAGTAAATGTAACACTTATACTGTTTGGAAGGATTGTCGCAAGGTGGCATTGCTGCCCTTGTGTGAGGAGACCCCACCCAAGTCTTCTGAGGAGGAGGGTGTGGCTGTTCTTTCACTCTGGCAGTTTATGGACGCGAGTGAGGAGACTGGGCTAATTTATGCACTTGTGGGAAGGGACTTGGCGCAGCTTGTTTCAGGGCCTGAAGCTCTTAAACCACTTTTATTGGAGTTTGAGGACCTAGTGCCAGATGAGTTACTTGCTGGCTTGCCACCCATGAGGAATATACAACGTTGTATAGACCTTATACCTGGGTCAAGCTTTCCTAACCTACCAGCTTATAGAATGAGTCCTAAGGAGCATGATGAGCTCCAGAGCCAGGTGGATGAGTTGTTGGCAAAGGGGCTTATATGGGTTAGCATGAGTCCATGTGTAGTACCAGCTTTGCTTACCCCTAAGAAACATGGTTCATGGAGGATGTATGTAGACAACAGGGCAATTAACAAAATAATAGTTGAATACTGATTCCCTATTCCACGGTTAAATGATATGCTTGATATGTTAGCTGGGGCTTTTGTATTTTCAAAAATTGACTTGAGAAGTGGCTACCATCAAATTCGCATATGCGAAGGAGATGAGTGGAAAACTGCTTTTAAGGCAAAGAATGGGTTGTATGAATGGTTGGTGAAACCTTTTGGTCTAGCAAATGCGCCTAGCACATTTATGCATATAATGACACAGGTGTTACGACCTTTTATTGGCAAATTTGTGGTAGTTTATTTTGATAATATACTTGTTTATAGTATAGATGCCAATGCCCATGTTGGTCAGCTTCACCAGATACTAACAGTGCTAAGGGCTGAGAAGCGATACATCAATCTCAAGAAATGTAGCTTCTTGACCAATAGCTTGGTATTTTTGGGCTATCTTGTGTCTTCAGAAGGGGTGAAGGTAGGTCTTGAGAAGGTGCGCTGGTCCCAAAATCAGTAACAGAAGTGCGAAGCTTCCATGGACTTGCTACTTTCTATAAGTGGTTTATTAAAAATTTCAGCTGTATTATGGCCCCCAGTTACTGAGTGTTTGAAGGGTGAAGCTTTCCATTGGACTTCAGCTGCAAATAAAGCTTTTGACACCATTAAAGAGAAGGTTACGAATGCTCCAGTACTTGCATTACCAGATTTCAGCAAGAGTTTTGAGGTAGAATGTGATGCTTCTCACATGGGGATTGCTGCAGTGCTTAGTCAAGAAAAGAAGCCTATTGCTTTCTTTAGTGAAAAACTAAATGAGGGAAGATGAGAGTATTCGACATATGATGTTGAGTTCTATGCAGTTGCTCAAGCTTTAAGACGTTGGCGACATTATTTGATGCAGCGAGAGTTTATGTTATATACTGATCAGGATGCACATCAATAGCCAGAAGAAGCTTAGTGCACGACATGCAAAGTTGGTGGCTTACTTGCAGGAATTCACATTCACTATGGGCACCAATCAGGGAGTCAAAATCGAGTGGCCGATGCACTGAGCCAACGTTCATACCTCTTGCCCACCTTGGCTGTGAATGTGGTGGGTCTTGAAGCTATTCAGGAAGCATAGATCCATATTTCAACCATATTGTTTTATAGTGCAGTTCAGGTGATCAGTCCTCTTACTACCAGTTTACTTTATCGGATGGATATTTATTTTATGGTGCACAGTTATGTATTCCTGATACTTCTCTATGAGAACATCTTATATCGGATCTCCATGGAGGAGGCCTTGGTGGCCATTTTGGAAGAGATAAGACGTATGCCTTGGTAGAGGAGCGATATTTTTGGCCACACATGAGGAGGGATGTGTATCGCTTTGTTGACAGGTGCTGAGTGTGTCAAGTGGCCAAGGGACAATCTCAGAATACAGGCCTTTACACACCCTTACCTGTCCTGATTAGGCCTTGGGTTGATTTATCCATGGATTTCATTGTGGGGTTGCCTAGGACTGCAAGGGGATATGATTCTATTATGGTGGTGGTGGACCGATTTTCTAAGATGACACATTTTATACCTTGTAAGAGGATCACATATGCTACAATGGTTGCTATTCTCTTCTTTAAAGAGATAGTGCAATTGCATGAGCTTCCCAAGACCATTACTTTAGACTGTGATACTTGTTTTCTCAGTCATTTTTGGAGGACTTTATGGGGGAAAGTGGGTACTAAGTTGCAATTCAGTAGCACTTATCATCCACAGACAGATGGCCAGACCGAGGTGGTCAATAGAAGTGTAGGTAACATGCTAAGGAGTTTGGTTGGAGAAAACATGAAAGTGTTGGATTTGGTGTTACCACCACAAGCTGAGTTTGCTTATAATCATTCTCCAAATTGGTCTACTGGGAAGACTCCTTTTATGGTTGTTTATGGTATGTTTCCTTTACATTTTCATGATTTAATTCCTTTACCTGCACGTGAGATTGTAAATGCAGATGATGGGAGTATGCCTGAGTATATGAAAGAGTTACATGAGAATGTTCGTAGAAAGCTAGAGGAGAGCTATGACAAGTACCAGGATGCTGTGAACCGTCATTATCATGAGCAACTGTTTGATGTGGGAGATTTTGTGATGGTACATTTCGGTTTCCTGTTGGCACCTATGGAATGCTCAAAGCCAGGAAGATTGGACCTTGCCAAATAAAAAAGAAGATTAATGACAATGCTTATGAAGTGGAGTTGTCGTGCGGACGGAATATCTCTCCAGTCTTCAATGTTCGAGATTTGTTCGTTTCCATGGTGATGCCGACCCGATGGAGTCGAGTCTTCTCCAACCCGAGGAGGATGATGCAAATTGAATTCATAAAATTGATTTATTTTGAACTTTATTTTATTTTGGGGCATGGTTGGAATTTTATGTATTGATTGGTTCTATTATGACTCAAAGCATGAGGGGTAGAAGGGATATTCAGCTTAGAAGTTGTTGTAGTGAGTAAGTTACCATATGGGGAGGTACGTATTCCTTTATTTGTGTGAGTATGGGTATCTGAAAGTAGGAAAGTTGAATAGTTGATAAAGTTAATAGAGAGAGATTTGTGGGGCCCACATGTCATAGAGAGAGAGTTTGTTAGAGAGATAGAAGGTAGGAGAGTTTTTTGTGGGTTTTTAGTTGGAAGGAAAATAAAAGGGGGGACGTGCCTCTTTGGAATGGGATTGGTTATTTTTGTAGAGAGAATTTTATTCAAAGAAAGGTTTCTTCTCTTTTGGGGCTGAATTTACAGCCACTTTAAATTCTCCATTGTTGTTAATTGTGGGTGTTCCAAGATCAAAAGAAGGCCAGATTTAATGTCTGGGCTCCTTTTGCATCACATATAAAGTGAAATTAGTATCACATCAAACATTTATTAATTCTCTTTACTCGTTCCAAATTATTACAACCTAACTAATTATAATATTATCTATTGAAATGAAATTGGCGGTTTATATTTTATAATTATTTTACCATAAAAATTAGAACAAATCTAAAATATCCTATAATATCATCTAATTTAAAAATCTTATTTACAATTATAAGAAAAAATAATACATTATATAATTTATAATGCAAATAAATTCATAAATAAAATACAAGATTTGGTTATCGATGTATAATTATTAATTATAATAATGTAATAAATATCATTTAAGAATTTCTATATAACAACTTAATACAATTCAAAATAATATGAAATTTTATTCTTGTATAAAATAAGTTATTGTAATAATAAGAAATTAAAACTAAGTTATTTGTTAATATTTGTAAAAAATTCTAAATATATTCATTTAAAATTACAATCTAGATTAAATATGAAAATAACATAATCTATATAATAATAATAATTAATTAAATAACATAGCAATTTCATATATTAAATTATGTGATTTTTATTGCATTTATAACAATAAAAATCTCAATATAACATTAACAATTTTAACATAATTATATTCATTTAACAATGTAATTTTAATGTGGTCATATTTACATAATTAAAATATTGTAATAGAGGGGTGAGTGATTTTTTATTATGGAGGAGAGGGAAAATTATCCCACATCCAAGAGTTACATAAGCTTAAATGGGTATAAAATACTCATAATAGACTTTATAGGTACATGTGAAGCCGTGGTAGGTGTACGGAAGGTTGGTGAACAAATGGGTTGGTTGGCCACTCCAACCTGCTGCCACATGGCTGAGGAGGGTACGAGTATGGTGTTATGTGGCCCGTAATTTTTGAAGTTTTTTGAAAGGGCCCTTGCAATCTGGATCCGCGAATCAGGAAAAATGTGATGTCTAAACCGGTTCCTTGACGGTGATGTCAGATTCGATGATGTTCGATTGATGTCATCACACAACCGGGTTTAGTGTTATATGGCTGAATCCCGTTTTTATCTTGGATCCGAGACGGGCTGGGCGATACCCGATCCGGATCGGGTCATCGATTTTTAAAACACTGGTTTTGACTAGATATTCTTTTCAAAAAAGAAAACTTTTTATCAATAGATATTCCATGGTGGTATACTCATAATATGTTCAGCTATGCTCCATTTGAAGTCTTGCGACAATGTTTCAATACTGAAATGCTTTTGATTGTGAGCAAGTCCTAATTTTGTAATTATATTTAATGATAGCCACCTTATCTTTGCCTGTTTCTTGTTGCAATGGGCTTGAATAACTCGTATGCTACTTAGAAGGCTTTCTATTTGGAATAACTACAAGCTTGATACCCTAAAATACTGAAAACTCAATTGCTTTTTATCTTATTAGGATTGTCTTGGTATCTTTTAAGATGATATAGTTTGTGAACATCTTGGATTTATGGTAGTTAAATCCTATGTTACAGATATGCCATGTCCATTGATGCGAAAATCTCGAAATGCTTTTTAGCATGTCATGCTTTGTTGTCAGTATTCCTTTTGATGGGTTAGTTTACCATTGTTTCTCATTTGGCCCAAATTTGCAATATACTTTTTATTTTTCGAATCATTTACTTATTATACACACGTAAATGATGGGTGCTTGTGCATTGGGGCTCTAGATTCATCCATGTATTGCTTGTACAAAAAGCTTGCTTAACTTTGGAATTCCAGGCGGTCTGGTCTACTATTGTTTGCTAGCTGTATACAGTTTACAACTTCACATTTTTTCTTGGTTATCGAGTTTTACATTTTAATGCTAACTTGAATAGAAAAATTGTGAAATTGCAATAGTTTTGGCTGGATATAATTGGGGCCAAAATTTGCTCAAATCTGAGGTAGTGATGTTTTAACTCAAATATTAGAGAAATGGGTGATATTAAGGGTTTTTGTGTTATTTAGATGAAGATCTGTCTAGTTTGGTGTTGAGTGGGAAAATTTTGGGCCAAAATATGGAAAGCTCAGGAAAGCATATTGTCCTGGTAGACCATCAGGGCCAGCTGATTCACAATGAAAGGGGCCAACTGTATGGTCTGACTGGTCAGACCTGCAAAGGCTGGTTAGAACCAGCCTTTTTTATTTCTTTGGTTTAATTTTGTGGACCTGAGAAGAGAGGACCTGTTCTGGTTGAACTTGGTCCGTGTGGCTTGTTCACTTTTTATGTTTTAAATGCGTCTTTGTATTTTTCCTGGGAGTGTTTCGCCCTTGTGGACCATCAGAACCAGCTGATTCAAAATGACGTGGGCCACCTGGCTTGTCTGACTGCTCGGACCTGCGAAAGCTGGTTTGAACCACCTTTTTTTATATTTCGAGTTTTTTTTGTTCACTGGAGTAGTCAGGGGACCTGTTCTGGTTGAACTTGGGCCATCTTGCTTGTTCGTCTTGTATGTTTTAAATACATCTTCCTAATTAAATATCTAAAGCTTCTAATCTACTGTTCTTTGCTTTTAAAATCATCCTTCATATCGTTACCAATTTTCGTATTATTAACCTTGTGATAAGGATATGGCATTTGCTGTGATGGTTAAAGTGTCAACAACAGCATCCTTTTCTGTGTTGTAAGGTGCATCTAAAATCATTTACCTAGGTCCATATATTCTCCTTTCTAGTACCTTGTTTACAAAATTAATTATCTCTTTCATATTCATTATGTTTGCTTATTTTTATTCCTATCCTTTGTTAAGATGGCTTTGGTTGTCTACTCAAAACAGAAAAAAAGTTCTCTGATATTTTACATCCATGTGTGATGCAAAACAAATGTTTTCCATTTCCATGAAATTGGATTCAACTTTGTCAATTCCTGTATGGCTTGTAGGCAATTACTGCAAAATCTAGGTGCAACAAAAAGCATGGAAGCTGTTATGCCATATAAATGACCAAACGAGAAATAACCCCACTTGGTTATCTCTGTTAAGCTTTATTGCTCCTCTATGTTTCAGGGGATGGATCTCTATTTTAAAAGGCACGACGGGCAAGCAGTTACTTGTGAGGACTTTTTTGCTGCTATGCGTGATGCGAATGATGCAGACTTCTCTAACTTTTTGTTGTGGTATGCCCGTGACTTCTTGTTCCTTAAGATTTCTTTGTGATGCTTATGCTTTCTCAATTGTTTTCTAAATAAGTCATCTCTCACAGGTATTCTCAAGCTGGAACTCCTCTTGTCAAAGTGACCTCGTCCTACAACTCTGAGACAAATACTTACTCTCTCAAGTTTAGGTAAATTTGCAGGTACCTATATGTGTTTTGTTCTGGGTCCATGCTTCCCTTATTCATTTACTAATTCATCTAGCATCTGGGTACCTGTTTTTCCAGTCAACAAGTGCCTCCTACTCCAGGACAGCCAGTTAAGGATCCTATGTTTATACCTGTGGCTATTGGCCTCTTGGATTCAAATGGGAATGACCTTCCTCTGACATCTGTTTTTCACGAAGGGCTGCTGCATTCTATCTCAAGCAATGGTCATCCAGTGTCCACAACAGTCTTACGAGTTACAAAGGTAACACCTGGTCCATCTTGGAAAATTTTGTGGGTGATAGGGAACTGTAATTTGTGCATATGATATGAAATAAGTCAATTACATGAGTGAGAATTCCCATGTTTGAATTACCAAAATACCACTGACCAATGAAATATTTGCACTGTGCCAAGTTATCTCACCTTCCACAAACACTTGAAATGCATATCTTGCCACTCTTTTTACCTGCTTAATGAGTCGGCATGTGGTTTCTTAACAAGAAAATGTCGCCAGAAGTATATCCATGATTGGTTTGTTACCATCGACGGTTCCTATTTTAGTTTACTTTTGGATAACAAACTTTTAATACTAAACAAAGATGATGGAATTGACACAATACAAGGCAGAATGTTTTTGAGAGTAATCACTTCATCTGCTCAAATTTCTCTCTTTCGTTTTTTAATTGTTTGACCAAACTTAGCATGGATTGAATTGTCCTATGTCAGGGGTATTTTGGTGGTTCGTTGGAAAATAATGGGTCTGCATATTGATTTCTCATATATCAGGGTTTGTATTAATATCTTCTTTGGGCTAATATGAAATATTGAACTGTGCAGGAAGAAGAAGAATTTGTTTTCCATGACATACCTCATAAGCCCGTTCCATCGATCTTGCGGAATTATAGTGCCCCCATTCGTCTCGACTCTGATCTGACTGATGATGACCTATTTTTCCTTCTTGACCATGATTCTGATGAATTCAATCGGTAATAACTTATATCTTCTTCTTTCAATTTGATGTGGCCTTTCAGTTAGTAACTTCTTTAAATTTGTTGATTCTTCAGTTGGGAGGCAGGACAAATATTGGGAAGGAAGCTGATGTTGAGCCTTGTAGCTGACTATCAACAGAACAAGCCTCTCGTTTTGAACCCTAAGTTTGTAAATGGAATGAAGAGCATTTTGTGTGACTCTAGCTTGGACAAAGTAAGCATAGTTTCTGTTGATACTTCAAATTATCACAAAAGCGTCTCTGGTTGTTATATTGGTTTTAATTATTTTCGTGTCGGTCTCAGGAATTCATTGCTAAGGCAATTACTTTACCTGGTGAGGGAGAAATCATGGACATGATGGAAGTTGCGGACCCAGATGCTGTTCATGCTGTTCGCTGTTTCATTAAAAAACAGCTTGCTTCTGAGCTCCGTGGAGAGTTTCTCACGACAGTATGTTACTTCAGCTTGTCTTGTCTCTGTGTGTGTGTGTGTGTGTGTGTGTGTGTGTGTGAGAGAGAGAGAGAGAGAGAGAGAGGATTCGTATCACGATTCATTCTGGTTTGAGTTTGAGAGAGTAGTGATAGGGGATGAGTGAGGGTTGAGGTTTAGGGAGACGGAAATAGAGCGTGAAGTGTATGGAGGGATTGGATTTCAAGGGAAGGGAAACTGTCCCTTGTCAAATTTCTTGGATGGTGTGTGACCATCTACAATGCCCAATTAAATTGATTGTGTAGATGGTTGTGGGTGTGCCCTGGGGCTTTGTGCCGCAGCACCACCAAAACTGGACCCTTTTCTGTTACCCTTCGAAAAATGGGGACAGATAAGGTAGCATGTATATTGTATTTATATTTCTCTGACAAAATGAAATGTTAATTTTTCATTTCTTTTGTTTTTGGTAACAATGCGACATGGTGGTTTTCTTCTTTTCCTTTTTAATTTCAGGTTAAGGACAACAGCAGTGCAGAACCTTATGAATTTAATCATCATAACATGACCAGACGTGCTTTAAAAAATACTGCTCTTGGTAAGTCTGTTTTTGATAACTGGATATTTCTTATGTATTTGTTTTTGAGTGTTCCATGACCTAAAGTGGGTCGTTTTATATGTCAGTAAGCTGAAATACACCCCTGTTCTTTTTTTTGTAGCTTACCTTGCTTCATTGGATGACCTTGAACTCACAAAACTCGCATTGAATGAATACAAATCTGCGACAAACTTGACTGAGCAATTTGCAGCTCTAACAGCTATAGCTCAGAATCCTGGCGAAGCCCGAGATAGTGTTCTTGCAGATTTCTACCGGAAATGGGAGCATGACTATTTGGTGAGCTTTTCTCAATAATAAATGAGTTTACTCTTTTCTTCTTAATTTTTACCTATTTTTTATTGTGTCCCGTGTATTATTCTTGTCTTCTCCATTCTTGAGGTTGGTTTCAATTTATATCTTTGTTGTGGACAAATCTCTTTATTTAGAGCTCAATGAATTCATTATAATAATAGTTTGCTTCCACGAATAAAATTCATTAAAAAGAAAAAAGTGAGAGGGTGTTAAAGAGATGCCAGTCTTTTGGACGTTCTATGATAATACTTGCATTTAGGTGTATTAAGGTTTGTGCTCGTGTGCTTAATTGCTCGTGTCGTTTTTTTTGCCAGGTTGTGAACAAGTGGCTCACTCTTCAAGCCATATCTGACATACCAGGAAATGTCAAGAATGTCCAAAGATTGCTGAACCATCCATCCTTTGACATTCGCAATCCAAACAAGGTCAGTGCATGTTAATGTTCCGAACCTTACAAAATAAAGTACAAATTTGTGTCTATTTTTATTTCTATTTGATGTTATTATTTTTTTGGTGCCGGGGCGGGGGCGGTTGGGAAGATGTGCTTGCGTGCTCACTTGCACGCATTAAACATATGCATGTGTTTTTTGTGTGGAGAGAGAGAGAGAATGGGCAATGTGCACGTGGCATGTGCTCTTGCACACGCATGTGCGTCTAGTGGCAAGAGAGAAAGAGAGGGAGAGGTGATTGTTGCTCAATCATTTGGTTTCCTTGTATTGTCAGGTCTATTCTCTCATTGGAGGTTTTTGCGGATCTCCAGTAAATCTCCATGCGAAGGATGGATCTGGCTACGAGTTCTTGGGTGACATAGTTTTGCAGCTGGATAAATTGAATCCTCAGGTTTGCCTCTTTTGGCTTATTATTTGCGTTTTTTGGTTTTCTGAGTCTAAGCGGATCTGTTTACAAGTACATTCAAATGGTCTAATCTAGAATCTTTATTACTGTTTGTTTTTGCCCTCTCCATGGCATTGGAAAGATACAAAATGTAAAAAGATAATAATTTCTTGTATAAGTAATTGGGAAAGGAAATACAATGTTTTTGTACATTGGGTCACAGGTAGCTGCACGGATGGTGTCTGCTTTCTCACGATGGAGGCGCTATGATGAAACACGGCAAGCTCTTGCCAAGGTAACATAGTATGACCATACTCGTGTTGATCGTGTTCAGCTTTTTGTTTTTTTGAAAGTTTGTTCTATTTTTCTTTTTCTTTTCAATGTTGTAAACTTCATTGTCTGATAAACTCTTCCCAATTATTGAGAGAGCGAGAGAGATTTGGGTTTCTGCCTTGTCATGGGAAATAAAACTCACGAAATGTATTTGGGGTGTGTGTGTGTGAGAGAGAGAGAGATTTGGTTTATGCCTTATCATGGAAAATGAATCTCACCAAGTATATATTGTTGGATGATAAACAGGTACAGTTGGAGAAGATCGTAGCTGCCAATGGGTTGTCAGAAAATGTGTATGAAATTGCCTCCAAGAGCTTGGCTGCTTAGAGAGAGAGAGAGAGAGAGAGAGAGAGAGAGAGAGAGAGAGTAGGGAAAAGTGTCAGATAGTTCTCAGGATTCTCTGTTTAATCCCGTTATAATCTTCCCACTTTGTCCTATGGGTATTTTTCTCTCTTATTTGAGAAAGGCATTTTGTGTAGTTCCAAATGCTTTTAGGGTGGTTATGTTTAGAGGGACTACTGATCATATTTTGCTAATAAAAGGACATGCTATGGTAATTAAACTATGGACACAGATTATGAGTCCCTGTAGAAATGAGTCCCCTAAAGTCTATTTTTGAGAGATTTTTGAACCTAAATTTGAAAGGTATATAGTCTGTAACATGGAGATCATGCATATGAAAAAGTAATTAAACGTTAAAAATTTAAAATTACAATTTTATGAAGAAAATATTTGGACCGTAAGTTTTTCTTAGATTGACCACCCAATTGCATCCAACTTTAAAATGGATGCTTTATACCTTGGGGGATGCAAATGTAGAAGTGTGTCCCTGGACGCATGGAACAATTTTCCTTTAACCATGTATTAATTTTGGACACTCCTATTCAAATGTGTTCCTTTTCAAAAAGCTATTTTGGGGATGGATTTGGACTTAAAATCGTACAGGTTAATGATCTCAACCAGACGATCATGAATCCGAAACAAATTGATTCTTGAATCTTAGATGTAGACTATATAATACCTTTTTTAAAGTCGATCATCACCATTCATTCAATTCTTTGTAGATCGATCAGATTTCAACCATTTTCTGAAATGCTAAATCATGGATCCAGAGCAGAAATTCATTGTCACTTAGGATGGATTTCATATCTTAAAATCTATCTATAAGATTAGATTTTGAGTGGAATTTATTTGGATAAGTCTTACCATTATTGTTTATATTTATTGTGAATGTTTAATCTGCTAATGCATGTACCCCAGATGGAGTGATCCGGGGGTGCTTATTGATCGTTATGTCTGATGATCAGGTTTTCACCGGCCAATCAATGGATGGACGGTGATAGAGAGAATGGGGTGGTTATATGATGCTCTGATGGTCCCATTCAGTTACTGATCCATGACTGCTCTCTCAATGGGCACATAGATCATTATATGTATTGAAAAATAGGGATTAGCTTGTGCTTCTGGGATTTTACCCATATGCCCCCAGCCACACGGTACCATTACTACTAAGGAGTCGGGAAATAATGTGAATGCGGGATCACCTTGCTGCTGGAGAGAGCCTGAGAGAGCGAGAGCATAGACTTTTGCGTAGAAGTGGCCATGGCAACCCGACTAGGTTTCACCCAGACCCAGGATCCAGACCTGGCCCAGGTTTAGAAATTACAAAACAAAAAGAAAGTTTATTTTACATATTATTTTGTATATATATTTTATATAAAATGTTAGACTTGGACCCGACCCAATAGGGTCCATGTTGACCCGTACCCGACCCAATAGGGTCCATTTTGACCCTTACCCGACCCAAGTCGGGTCCAAGCCATTCAAGCCCATGCCCAACTTGCTGGGTCGAAACATGGGCTGCAAGGGTTGACCCGACCCGACCTGATTGCCACCCCTACTTTTCCGGGACTTTGTGCTAGAGCAGGGTTCTATGTTTCTTTCTTTGCGTTTTGTACAGTAAAAAAATGGTTATCATTACATGGTGTCGCTGGTTCCTATATGTTTTTTTTTGCTGGTGCTCATGGCGGGTCTTTTGGCTTCCTTTGCACTTCTCTATATCATTGGCCTGGTCTTCATTGATAATCACTTTTTCATGGTAGTTGAGTAGGCATTAGATAGCTTGCTATATAACCATGATTCCAGCTTCATTCGCACTGCAGGGACTTCATCTATAAGATTGGCATGGCCCCACCATATAATTACTTTTGGTATTCTATACAGTAAGACCATTAATTTTATTTGGTACAAAGATGCCAGGATCATATTAGCCTTTGAATGTAAAATCTAATAGGTTTAGTTTCATAATATTAAATTTTTTTATTTTGAACTTTGTACCAAACCAGTGATACATCCTCAATTACTGGATTTCACATTCAGTGATCATTAATAATTGTGGCTTTTTTATATCAAACATAAATAATATCATAATATACAGTTCCAGTATTTGTTTGGTGGTACATGAGTGGGCATTAAAGACCTTGCAACACAGACTTGATTTCAGCTTCATTAGTACAGCAAGGATGGCATGGCCAGAATGATGTATGTTACCTTGGCCAAGTTTCCTCCCACCCACCGACCCACCCACTGTGCGACATGCTCCTCGTACTCCAAAATGTTAAGAGATTGGTCCCATTGAGATAGCCCGTGCGATGCTCCCATGCTTTGAAAGTTGCACATATCGTGCTAATTTTGATGATGCCGCCTCGAATCTTGTCATTCAACCAATCACCCCTTCCTCCACTGAGCGCTTGTCACTCTCGTTCGACGCACCCCATGAGTGGAAGGGATGAGCTGTTCACTCCCTTTATTAGCAACCTCATTAAAGTGGTTTCTCCATGCCTCAAAGGTGCCATGATTCCCTATAAGGTCGATGTATGCTCTCTCCCTGCCTCGAAAGATCCATATTTTCTCTTAATGAAGATGTATGACCTCGCTGCCCTTTGAAATTTTCACACTCTCATTTGGTGGTGAGGAGACTCAATCCTCGACAAAGGAAGTGGGCCTTAGGGGAGGCCCCATGACCATCCTCAATGAGGTTGCCGGAGTAGCAGTCGAGCCCATAGTAAAAAAGTGCATTGAACAAGAGGCATTTGGTGATCAAACTCAATTAGAGTGTACCGCCGCAAAGGCAGACAAGGCCTACGATGCCATCAGCCCTAAGGCCTCAACGTCCCCCCCAATGGTGAGCAACTCAACCTTTCAAGAGAAGAACAACCTCCAATAATGACCATTGTCAATGCTATGGTGGTCGATTAAGCACCGGAAATGAGATGGCGCAATTTAAAGCCATGAGAAGAAAATTGTAGGATGAAATGAGGTCGAAACATGAGAAGAAAATTGTAGGATGAAATGAGGTCGAAATATGAGATGATGGGAACCTTGTGCCAAGAGTTGGTGGCCTGTGAGGTCGAGCATGCTCCCACGACACACCAAATCCCCTTTACCACATCCCAACCACCATGTCAGGCGACCGATGCGATGCCACCAAGCGAATCACTACTCCCACCCACCTCCTTCACACCTGTCCAAATTCGTTGATGACACAAAAAGCTGCTTAATATCATCCAATAAAGGTGATGATGTTAAAAGCATTTCTATTTGGTTTAAAAAGGGTGTTGACCTTGAATTTTTCTTTTAATCGGTCCGATATAGGTGAAGACCACTTTAAGAAAAAAAAAGAAAAAAAAGACCCTCAATGCTGCATTTTGCGACAAGAAGAAAAGCATAATAAAGTCAAACCTTCACCCCCTACCTCCGGTGAAGTGAAACTATGGAGTCTTTGATGGCTAGTCCGGGCACCCCCTCAATAATCCCTTGTTGCAAGCCCCTGTACCCTTGCCATTAATCCAAGAGTGCTCTGGTGCCCCAATTTAAAGAAGAAAGTTCCCCAAGGCAGTATCCATCATCATCCCGAGGGCAAACAAGCCAAGTCGGGCAGCCCATAATCAAAAGCTCACTACAGACTTGTCTCCAATCACGTGATAGGCTGTGAAATGCCCCATGCCTGCAGTTAGGCCATTGCTCACCGCCGGGTAGCCTTTATTCTCCTCGGTTCCAAAAGTCGGGTCTTATCCCAATGGACTATGTCGAAAGCGGCACCGCTCCATGTATTCCATCCCAGTGGATCGCATACATGGGCAACATGCATCATCATTGCCCCGACTCCACTCGCTCAGGCGAGCAATACGAGCCGCATCTCCGCAATAAAGCGGCACTAACAAATGTTTGCGCTCCGCTCGTACCCCAAATGGGCCGGTCTCTTCACATCAAGCTCCCTCGTAAAGCACAAGGCCAGCGAAGTGGCATCACTGCTAGCCCATTACCCTCTATCTCCCATCCCTCTCGGCGTGACCCTGGCTCAACTGTCGCCTTCCCCTTATTTTTGCTTTTACTAAGGAAAAGCGTTTCGTGCCGGCTGGACCGGACCGCATATGTGGCCTGGCCCAAAAAGTATAAAGCATACATCTTAAAAACAAATGGAAACTTACTGTTTAAATGTTTTCATATTAAAATTATTATTTTTAATTTTTAAAGCTTATTTATTTATTTTCATATTCACATTAGAGATTAAACGTCCTTAAAAACTAAGTCTAATAAAATCCATCTCAAAAATATATTTATTAAATGACCGGCAATTAACTCATTTCTCGCTATCACGCTTACTCATTCTCCATTCCTCTCTTTTGTTTTTTCCACACCTATTTATACCGTGTTTCTTTTGTTATTAATTTTTTCTTTTCGACCTTTATACCCCACCTCATCCATCCTCCCCTTGTTTATTTCGTCTCATCCATCCACCTTATCCATCACCATCGTCATGTCATCATCTTTCAACCCTTACGTCATCTCATTCAATCTTCTCTGTCTTACTCCCATGTTCCCCTTTGCACATTCTCCCTCCCTTGCCTAACGCAAGGCCGGCCGCCCGGCCGGCCGGCCGGCGGCTTCACCGTCCCTCTCCGCCATGCACGCTACAACCAACCTCCTTCCTCTACTTTTATTCACCTTATGCACAAAAATGGCACGGCACGGCACAACCGTCACCCTTTCATGCTCCGCCTTCCTCTCAAAGCTCCCTGCCTCGATGGCCTTCGGAGAAACGAGTTGAGAGGGTTGGGTGACCCTTCCCTTTGAATTTCCGAGACCCTTCGTTTCCCCGGTGACTGTGCACCTTCTCGAGACTCCTCATCTTCTGCGACGGAACAAATTCCCGAGACTCTTCGTTGCCTTCATGCGACTGTTGGCCTCCCTGTGACCTTCGCTTCGGTTCCACTCGCCGGAAAAACCTCACTGTTACTCTCCCACTACTCCTCGGTGACGGAAAACCACAGGAAAACGACCGGAAATTCACGAAAATGCCCTGTTACCCTCGCTTGCCTCTTTCCCACCTGTCCGGTGTCCTAAATCCTCTGCCGGAATACCTTTGCAGCCCACCAGCATTCCTCCTTCTTCACCTGAACCCTCTCTTCCTCAGCAGAAAACCTCGGCACTTCCCAGAAAAACTCGTGCGGACACCCTGTCGAAGCCGTTTAACCTTGCCGGAATACCTGCGTCTCTGTGCGCTTTGCCAAAATCCCCGCGC